CCCCGCGCCGCAGGGTCTGTCACTGCGGGCCGCCCCCCGACGGAGCCGCCCGGGCCATGCCGCCGCCGCGCCTGGGCCGGCCGGCCGTTACTAGGATGGAGGCCGCGGGCGGGCGCCTCAGGAACGGCGGTGGAAGGATAAGCGGGGCGCGGCGCGAGGGCGGGCGGCGGAGGGATCTGCGCCGGCACTCGTGCCCAAGCTCCCCGCGCCGCGGACGGATCCTGGCGAGCGCCGCCGCGTCCGCTGCTGACGGGCACCGGGACGAGGCTCAAGTGGGCGGGGTGGCCGCCTCTCGCGACAGTCGGACCGGCCGTGCCCGCCCCCCCGGCTGATTGGTTCGGGCTGCCCCTTCTCGGCCCGTGATTGTTCCGGGTCCCCAATCCCGATTTGCCCCCACCTCGACCACGCCTCACCGGGGCTGTCGATCACGTTGGAACAGCCCCCTCCCGCCCCTCCGCGGCCCGCGGAGTCGATTGGCCAGCGGGGGGAGGGACGGAAAACCCGGGGTGGATTTGTGGTTGCTTTTGTTCCCACAGATTTGCGTGGAGCATTGTTTAGGCAAAAGCCTGGCGTCCGACCTTCCTGTTTTATTTCTGAGCGTCACATTTGGGAGATAGAGGGTGTCTTAGAAAAGCTGCTGGAGCGGGGCTCCCGATACCCGAGACCCCATCCCTGCTCTGCCTACTGAGCTGTGTGACCTTGAGCAAGTCGCTTGGCCTCTCTGAGCCCTGGGCGCCTTCCCGGAAAATAAGGGTAATAATAACCGCTCCGGGGGCTTGTGAGCAGGTTGTGAGCGCACAGCGGGCAGGCGGCCGCATGTCTGAGACAGTTGGCCTATCTTGGGGGCGTGATTGGAACAAGCTTTTTCCGTTAAGTAAGCCTCCTTTCTGCCAGTTACTACCACAGCTCAGGAACCAAGAGGATGCAAATACACCAGCCAGGGGTCAGGGAGCAGGTGAAAAGCCCCCTCTGTAGGCATTTGCGTTGACACCGAATTACAGGCTGCAGAAAGGTGGGGGAGAAGCTGAGGCACCCAATCACCTTTAAATCATACAATTGCAGTCAGTGGTCCCACCATCTACAGATAAGGAAACTGAGAACCTGGAGCAAGTCATTTACCGCCCCGCCCCCCCGCACCCCCAGAGCCCTTCTTTTGACATCTTGTGACCTAGGGTGTGTCTGTCTGGTTCATTCGTTCAGCAACTCTATGGAGGCCTGGCGGGTGCCAAGATCTAAGCTCTGGGGGGCAGCCATGAGCAAACTGGTGCCCTTACTGCCCTAGGGAGCTTACAACTTGGTTCCAGAAAGTACACAATTGAATAAATGATTTTCTTTACGACGTGGTCCAAGGTACTAGAAATTGCCTAACGAGACATCCTTCTTTCAGCCTTGGAGCTTCAAAGTTGAACAGACACTGCAGAGCCATAGCTGGGGGGAAGAGAAAATTTGCATTCCATACCTTGGACAAAATTTCCAGGAGCCACCCTGGTGTTCTAGGCCAGTGTAGAAAGGAGCAGGAATCCAGGGTTGTTTCCCAAAGGTGTTAAATCCATGTAGGTAACTGGGGTGAGGCTGGATCCAGTTGGGTCTTCCTGCCTTATTTCCTCAGTCTAGACTAATTTCTACAAATAATTGAATTAATCTTTAACCTCACTTTTCCAAGTGTTTCCAGGGAAGTAGTCACATTCCAAAATCTACAATGTGAGGAAATGAAGGAACATGAAAGTCAAAACAGTTAACACCCTTGTCTTCTATTGATAAACCAAGTTCCTCTAAATGGAAAGATCTTGGGATCTTATCAGCAATGGGGGTTCCTCAAATACAGCCCAACCTGGTTGTGAAACCACCAAGCTCTGATGCCAAGCCAATCTGGATTTCAGTCCCAGGTCTAGCTGGCTGGGGGGACCTTGACTGTTCACTCAACCACTCTGAGCCTCAGTTTCCTCATCTGTAAAGGGGAGTCAGGAGCCCCACCTCCCAAACTGGCAGTGGAGTTCAGAGATGCTAATGTGAGCCCTTGTTGGCTGGGACAACTGAGCCACAGAAATCGCTGGATAAAGGTTCCCCAGCTCCCAGCCGCCTTTTTGCCACTTCTTGCTGTGCTATTTGCTATTTAATGTTTGTGCTGGTTGAATAGCATCTCCCAAAAGGTCATGTCCACCCAGAACCTCAGACTTGGAAATACGGTCTTTGTAGATATAATTCAGATAAGAATCAAGATGAGAACATGGATTATGGTAGGCCCTAAATCCAATGAGAGTGTCCTTATAAGAGACAGAAAAGAACAAGCAGAGACTCAAAAAGGCCATATGAAGATGGAGGCAGAGACTGGAGCCAGGGGTGCCTGGATCTACCAGGAGCTGGAAGAGGCAAGAAGGATGCTCCCCTAGAGCCTTCAGAGGGAGCAACGCCCTGTGACACCTTGACTTTGGACTTGTGGCCTCCAGAACTGTGTGAGGATTAATTTCTGCTGTGTTAAGTTGCCAAGTTTGAGGTTATTTATTACAGCAGCTCCAGGACATCCATACTGTATCGTGTCCCCCTCAACTTCAGTCTAGCTCAATTTAATGCAATCCAGTGGATGTTAAATTCCTACCCTGTAGGTTCAGACCTCACTAAGGGTTTGGGGGCCTCTACGGAGAATGAGATCCAGCCCCCCAATTTTAAGGAACTGGCAGCTTGAACTCCCCACACCAAAGTGGATGGGCTACCTGTCTGCGGGAGCTATCTTCTGCACACTGTTTCCTTCCCTGGGAAGCAGCCAAGGGCCTCCCAGGGGAGAGGGTGGACACTGACCTGCCAGTCCCTCCGAACATAGTCTCCCAGGCTTGGCCCTGAGCCTGTACCTGCTCTCCCTCCTAGCCAGGGTTCCTTCCCTAAAACAGATTCCCATCTCCTGGCTATCTGGACTTCCCCTTTCTCTGCAAAAGGTGATCCCTGAGTTCAACATTCTTCCACCTCTGCTTTGATGTAGTGGAGGGGCTGGGAGTCTGCAGGAAGAGGCTGAGGTGATGGCGCAGGATAAGTCAGAGGGTGGGGCATTCCTCCCCAGGAGAACACTAAGCTACTAGTAAAAGAGAGGCGGGGCTGTGTCTTCAGACAAGGAGAGAGTCCCACACAAGGCTGAGTGGCACAGCAGGCCACTGTGTCCTTCAGGCCATACGTGCCTTGTGCCTAACTCGGGGTCAGGGGCTAATGGAGCAGAGGGGAATAAAACGGCTCACAAAATGTGGACTACAATCCTATTTTTGTGGAGTGTACCATTTTTGTAAAAGTAGGTGTGCATACACCCAAATATATGCATATAAGAGTGTCTAGAAAGATGTATTTTAAAATGTTAACATTGGTTAAGATTGAGAAGTGAGATTACCTGTGACTTTTACATTGCTCTTTAGTGAGATATAATCTCTTTACAAGGAGCCCTCGGGGAGTTCACCGTCTAGGATGGGACAATATGTCTGTCTGCATTTTCCATAGGGCTGGAATCAAGCACACATTAATATTATTTTTTAGAAAGAGAGAGACTTGGAGTTCATCACAAATTCTCCAAACAGACAACTTTGCAATGGAGATACGATGGTATGATGTGTCTGGGATTGCTTCTTGTGTCTGAATTAGTGATACTGACTACACACAGCAGTAGGCAGTGACCTGGCTAGAGAGGTGATTAGCCATCTGGACTCCAAGTACAGGTTCCCCCCCCACCCCATGCTGTGTAGCCTTGCAGAGAGGAGGCGCCTGGAGGGCAGGTTGTGCTTAGCAAAATGAAAACAGAATTAAGATTGAGATGCCGATTAAGAGGGTCCCTTAAACAGTTGGGGCTGGAGGGCGTATACACAGGCTCCCTGCCTGGATCTGCCACTTATCTTTCCCTGGGGGTATGTCATCAGCATGTGTGTGGTCTCAAATGGAACGGACTTACTGAGTTTTCTTTTCCCTTTGTCTAGGCCCTGGTTTCCTATGACTAAAAAAGCAAAGGGACCCAAAACTTCTAATATGGAGGCCTTAAGAAGTGGGTCCCTAAGGGATCTTTGCCCAGTGCCTCAACTCCTGATAGCCTCCTGTGATCACCATAACCTGTGTGACTGACAGGTGCTAATACTGCTGTCATTGGTCCCATCTCACAGGTGCTCAGTGGTCAGACGCAGTCCCGGAGCCATGCAGTTCGTGTGCGTTGAAATCAAATTCTGACCTAAGTCAATTGCCCAAGCTCTGTCCCTCTGCAAGGAAAGCACAAAGGGGACATCATTTACTCACTGTTTCTGCAAACCGGGGACTCCAAAGGCATC